GATACCTAAAATGTATCAATAAACTTAATGAATACAAAATGATAAATATTTGAGAAGACAGATATGATTTACCTGACTTGAATATTACAAGGTGTATCTATATATCAGAGTATCACTTTATTACCACATAAATATATATCATTTTTATGTTTTTATATATGCTTTAAAATATATTTAAATTTTAAAACTCAGCTAGGGATAAAAATATAACATTAATTTTAATTTATTTATTATTTTGGAATATCCCTAAGCATTAGATTGCTATATTATCATCAAAATGAAAGACTAGTTCATAGTTATTACTATGCCTCATTTTGTTTTTGAGACAAAGTCTTGGTAAGTTGCCCAAACTAACTTAAAACTTGAGAGCCTCTTGCCTCAGCCTAACAAATGGCTGGGATCATGGTCATGTGCCACCATACCCAGTCTCAAATTTATTTTCAATATGTTATGACAAAATATGGCCAGGATGGTCGATGCAAGAGTCTCACACATCAATAAATTTCTACATGCCAATTTTTTCATCTAAAAAAATGAGAATCTGTCACCAAGTGCCTCTGAGCCTATTATGAGGAAAGAACTTCAACAAATTTGTGTCAATCTCTGGCATCAAAAAATGATACACAATAAATATCAAGCCATCATGAAGCTATGTCTACCATATGATACCAAAAAGATTTTTTAAAAAAGCCTAAGTGTCTGAGCCAGGTTTTGTTTCTTAACAAAGGAATTAGATGCGTATACCTAGTAGAAGTGATGAAATTGCCATTCTCTTTCTTCCAACTGAAAAAGAAAAATGAAGTTCTTAACAAAGATAGGAATTATTTAAGACAGAAAAGATACAACAGCCAAGCCTGTACCATGCTTTAAATTTGTAAAGTATTTACATATATTATGATTTGTGATCTTCACGCAAATGGGTTGAGCAGAAAGTATTTTATTTTTCATCTGAGAACAGTGAAGCTCCCAGTGGTTGCTCAGCAAGTCTGAGATGGTAACAGCACTTGAACTAGGATTTAACTTGTGAAGTATTCCCCCTCTCCATTAACTAAGCAGAAGTCAAACTCATGGGGAGTAACGTACTCCTTAGAAGTCAGATAGTCTGAACCATTTTCTGGGTTGGACTAAATTCAGATCCAGTTGACTAAAACTTTGGACTTTCAGTCCGATTTTTTTTTTTTTTTTTGTACCAGGGATCAAAATCAGGACCTTGCACTTGTGAGGCAGTCAGTGGCATAACTGAGTTAAATCCCCAGCCCTTGATTTTTCATAATTTGAGCCATCTTCCAACCCCATCAAATTTCCATTTATCTTCTGGATTTTTATTTATCATTTAATATACAAATGTCTTCTTTGGACTGTTCTTTGTACTTTCAGTCCGATTTTTTTTTTTTTTTTTTGTACCAGGGATCAAAATCAGGACCTTGCACTTGTGAGGCAGTCAGTGGCATAACTGAGTTAAATCCCCAGCCCTTGATTTTTCATAATTTGAGCCATCTTCCAACCCCATCAAATTTCCATTTATCTTCTGGATTTTTATTTATCATTTAATATACAAATGTCTTCTTTGGACTGTGAGGACACTGATGGAAGGGACAAGGGCCTTCCTCACCTGCTTTTTTTCTATAATAGTTTTGTGCATAAGAAGCTATAAACAGATAACTTTAAATGAATTGAATCGATTCATCAATTTGTACAAAAAATTAACATCTGTTTTGTGACTCATTTAGTGCTAGGGTGGTCAGTGTGACAGAGAGAAGTGCAGATTGCTACCATGAAGTTTATGAACAGTAGGGAAAGATGGGAAACTGCTAATAACTGTGTTGGGATCTCAGAGAAGGGCTGCTCGCTATGGAAGCTAAAACATGGGGATGCAGCCTAGTATGGGTGAACAGGAAGAGTCTCTGGAAGCAGAGACATTTAATCTGCATCTAAATTGGGTGCAGAGGGAAGCAGGTTAGAGAGGACAAGCAATTTAAACAGACGGATGAGCACTTGCACTCGTGAGAAAACACATTCTCAAAGGCACATCTTAAATCCTGCATCTTATTGAATTATCGTGACTCAGGACCAAATCCAATGATGACGAAGATTGTCAGGGACAGTGGCATTCTCACAGGTTAAAATTATTTCTTTGTGTAGGTAAATCATGTACTCTTGCATCTTAAGATAGATCTTTAGCAAATATATTCAGTTTTGCTCTAAAAGTAGGAAGTAGGTATGTGCTTTTCTGAAACCAAACTTGTAATTTCAGAGACAGAGATCCAATACCCTAATTGGTTAACTAGCCTGGTTAAGAAACTGGATTGTTGTGAAGGCAGTTGGAAAATGTAATGATTTATTCAGTTACAGCTGGTTTTTTTTTTAATAACTACAAATTTTATAGTTAGTTTTAATTATAATTCCAGTTATAAACTACGACCATTCAGTGGGATTGCCAAACAGTTGTTATATAATATGTCGAGATGTTTAGCGCGGTATTCCGTGTTATGGAAAATACAAGAAATCATATTACTTTATGGCAAGTACCTTATATATGTAATTAAAATGATGTGTTCTCACAGACTATAGTTTTATGATAAAATGACTCAAAACTAGCCACATATATAAGCTGCCAGAAAGAAACCCATTCTTTTGTTATCCAGTAGATAGACACTGAGTAATCCCAATAGGATACCCTCACATACTGAATTCTGCACCTGCAAATTTCATGCTGAAACCCTAATCCCCAGGACCTCAAAATATGATTGTATTGGGAAACAGAACTTTTCAAGAGGTAATCAAGATTAAACAAGATAAAATGGGTAGACCCAAATCCAACATATCTAGTACCCTTATAAAAAGAAGAAGAAACACCAGTAGAAAGTTGGCAGAGAAAAGGTCATGTGAGGGCAGAAAGAAGGAGGCAATCTCGAGCTCAGAAAGTCCTGAGGAGAAACCAAACCTACCAACATGCGGATGTCAGAATTCCAGCCTCCAGGAGGGAGGGCAAATTGATTCCCGTTATGTAAGCCACCAGCCTGTGGGTTTTTTTTGTTTTGTTTTTCTTTTTTAATGTCAGTCTGTTTTGAACTGAATTGTGTCCCACTAAAATTTATATGTTAACAGCACACCCTCTAATAGGACTATATTTGCAATAGGGCCTTTATGGAGATAATTAAGAGGAAATAAAGTCATAAGAGTAAGCACCAAATCTAATACAACTGCTGTCATTATAAGAAAAGGAAAAGCCCAGGAGTGTGTGGGCAGGGGAAAGGCCACGTGAGGACACAGCAGGCCTGAAGAGAGGCTACACCAGACACCAAGCTTTCTAGCACCTTGACATTAGCCTTCCAGCTTCCAATAATGTAAGTAAATTCAATTTTGTTATTTAAGCTATCCAACGTGTGGTGTTTTGTTATGGCAGCCCCAGAAAACGAATACAGATATATATTTCACAGCCATAAATACACATGTGCAAGTGTACAAGCGCCCCATCTGACTGAGTATAGTCAGACGTCCAGATTCCTAGTCAAAAATGTTGAGAGGAATTTTGCCATGGCTTTGCAAATTAGAATTTTTATTAGATTAAAAATGAAAATGCATAATATATATATATAGATAGATAGATATATAGATATATATGCAGCCAGATTTAATCTGGATGTTAATTAGGACAAGAGAATTGCTTTTATGAAAGTGTTAATGTATGGGAACCATTAAATTTAAAATGTTTTGGACATATTCATAGGTTGATTGCTTCAGCTCTCAGAAAGAATGAAGATCTTGGTTTAACAAATCATCTGAAATTAATATTAAACTTGGACTCTACTGTTTCAAATTAAACTTTGTTCATGTAGCTCTTATATTCCTGTCCACTAAGATAATGTATTCTAAATGCTGCATTCAAACTCTCAACCTGGACAAGGTGCTTTAGTTGTAAGCTATGTAATGATCGAGCAATCTTCATCTTTATCTCTATTAGTTTTCCTTCTCCTTTCTTCTTCATCCAGGCCTTAAGGGGTTTAAAAGTTGGCTACCCTCTACTGGCAAATCACTATTCTTTTTTTCATTGCAGCTTTGTTCTCCTTAGCTCATCTCAAGCCTCATCTGCTTCTGAAAATTTCTCCCCAGGACAATCAGCAGGCACAGGACCATCAGCCCCTCCCTCGCTCCCATGTCACCGTGGGACACTGAATGCTTGGGGACTTTTCCCAGTTACACAGTGCCTGTTTGTCTTCTCACTGTGGAGAAGGCTGTAAAGGTCTAGAGGCAATGTTTCCGAAGAGGAGATCCCCAGGAATACAAAAAAAAAAAAAATCTGACAGGCACATTAAGGAGAATTTAACACCCACAGAAATGGACTCCAGGTTCCCACATATGAGAAATAGAAGTTTGAATGTATGAGAAAACAGGAAGCCACACATACACCGAAAGCCACAAAGACAATCAGTGGGGAGGGGCACAAAATTTGAGCTCTTGGAGATTAGTTAGAGCTGAGTATCACTTAATTATTTTTAGCTCTGAGCTCATAAAATGTGCTGCTTGATTCAGCTTCCAAAGAACAAAGCTTTGGAAATTCAAATTCCCAAGGTGTGTTAAAAAATTGGAAGGTTATTAAATTAGCTATCTAGTTCTTACATGTACAAGTCTCAGTTGAAGAGAAGTTTATCTCCAGATATCATTTTCTACTATTAGCAACATAAACAGCAACTGAAAACACATTTCAAGAGTAACTTACTGAGCCATCTTCCTTTCCTTCCACCACTACCTCCCACACACCTTTGATTTAAATATAATTATTTACATTGAATATATAAAACACAAATGGCACGCTGGAAATTATAGCTCCAGTTTTTTCCAATGTTTAGAAATGAAATGCATGATGAAGGCACACTTTGCTGTGATGAAAAATAAGAATAGGAAAAGATTAAGTAGGAAATCCTAAACTCCCAGTAATAGAAAGAACCAGCCCTGGGCAGTAGCCAAAGCCACCAAGATGCCAGGTCCAGTGTACCTACCACCTTTTATCATGCCCACATCGTAGCATTTGCGGAGCCGACAGGCCTGGCAGCTCTTCCTCCTGTTTTTGTCAATCGTGCACTGGTTGGTAGCTGGACATATGTAGTCATTATGCCCTGGTAAAAGCAAGAGGACAAAATTAATATCATTTCAGGAAACTTCACTGAATTGACAGGGAAACAGCTGGAGGATGCTTTGCTTTCACTTAGCGGAGCTCACTAAATTGCTACCTCCATCTTCCCCCTTGTTATCTGCTAACTGTAAACAAAAACCTTTGCTAGACTTAATTTCTACCTCCACCCATTGCTGTAGGAATCCTTTGGGCAAATCGCCTTCAGTTCACAAAGTCTATGTCGAGCAGCAAACTGTGGTTTTATTTAATTCTTAGCCAGGCCACTCACTAAAATGGTCAGGGTAGAGCTATTTGAAATCAAACTCTCAGATAGAAAGTTTCAAAGTGGCCTTTCATAAAATATAAATTAAGGAATCTTGAACTACTCAGATAAAGCCCAGAAAACCTCAGAAGTTCAAGATGGTGAGCTGGGTGGTAGCAAAGTAAGTAAGTTAATCTATCAGCACTGACCGGCAATGCTGCCCATGCCTAGGTCTGCTATTCCTCCTGTCTAACCTAGAGAAGGCAGTAGTGCACACACTACCTAAAATTATTCTAAGACTTTAATGTGAGAATCTATGCCGAAGGTTAGCCAGAGTTCCCTGGACGGGGTCAGCCTTCAAAAGACATCAGCTGTCATTATTACATAACTACAAATCCACGCTCTCTTCCCTCTTGTTTGTCGACTGTCTCCAGTTCACATACTTCTTCCTCTATGCTTTCTTCACGTGCAAATGTGTCCCACCTCACTCTGCCACCTCACATCCTGCCCTCTTTCCAGCTGAACTCAGAAACCTCTATGCTGAGGGGTCCTTTGCATCATCCCTCCTGCAAGGCTCAACCCCGCCCCCCCATCTGTTTTCTGCCTTAGTTGCCTCATAAAAGAAGCTTCCCCACATCACTGGCAATGCCAGTGCCTGATTCCCACAAGTCCAGCACACCGCACAGCTGACAGTCCCCCCCGACCCTCCTCCTGAGATGTGCTTGCCCTTGGCTGCCAACCCACAACCCTCCCCACCCCACCCTCGCCATGTGTCCTCTCTCTCTCGGTCTGTGGCTTCCCAATGTTTTCTGCAGATTCACTGACCTCCATCCACTAAGCCAGAGCTGCTGCAGCTCAGTGCTAGGTCCCCTTCTCCTCCTACTACTCCACATTCTCCCCCAGGAGAACCTGGTCCTCGCCTGTGGCTTCCGGTACCACCAACTGTGGGTCAGTCACAAGTTACCACTCCCAGCCCAGTCTTCCTCTCTGAGGTCCAGGTCTGTACATCCAATGACCCACAGGGAGTCCCCACTTTTAAAAATTGGAAATTACCTTTATTTCTGTATCCATCCAAAGAAGCCTGCTGTGTAGCATGCAAAATGTTGAACTTCACAAATTAACAGTTATTGACACGCATTTAGGTAAGCCTAAATTGCTACATGCCTTAGGGAAATAACCCAAATTTAGACTGAGGACATGACATCTACTATTCTAAACACGTTTCCCATTCTCAAAAAAAAAAAGTGAATATATATTCCAGCCTCTACTTCAGAATAGAGATTCTCTACTTAAGTCTCTATCATCTCATTTAGTAGGGACAAAATATGCCGTATCGTGAAATGTTTTAACTCAGAGCTTCTTCATTCAACTTAAGGGTCAGTTCCACTTGAACAGGGTGGGATGGGGACTTGACAATAAACACGGGCCTCATAAAAACTGGTTCTCTATCTTTAGATATACATTATAAAAATCTTCAGATCAAATTAACATCTGTATTCTTCTGTCACATAATAGAAACCAGCCAGGCAGATAGAAGTTAGGAACTCAAAACTCTGGCAAGAGATCACACACTGCCTTCAACATCCACTTGTGGTTATTATTTTAGAATTGACCTCATTTATTGGGACACACTGAGGGAAGTAATAGATCTGGAAATAAAACTTATATGAGCAGATGCTAACTCTAAACAAAAGAGGGGTTCTTCTGCTACCTTAAAGAAACTTTCAATGTTTAGTTTTCTATGGTGTTTATACAGAATATACTACATGTTTTAGCTAAAAACAAAAAAAAAAGTGAGTATACTTTAAGTTTCAGAAGAAAATGGTAGCCATTCAAACCAGATATTACTTTGACTCACTTTCTCCCCCAAAGCCAGGTGTGTTGCAAAGCAGAAGATAGGAGAACCAAACTGAGTTGGAGGCCAATTGGCTGGATCTTCTACTTGGCTGGATCTTCTACTTGGCTGGGCTACCCACATAGATGGGTATCTTTATAGAGCCAAGTGAAATGCTTGCACTAACCTGCCAAACACAGAAAACGTGCTGCATCTGTGCAACTGAGTCCATCCCTCTACAGGAATGAAAACAGGCACAACAGGAGCATGCTCACTCTAAACCTAGTGTGATGGCGCAGTTTTCTCCTGCCCTGAAATACATTAAAATGTTGAATTGAGAAATTGGCAAGAATCAAAACTGAATAAGTGCATGTTTGATATCTAGAGTTAAAACTGCTCTTAGCTGGGCATAGTGGCACACGTCTGTAATTCCAACACTCTGGGATGCTAAGGAAGGAAGATGGCAATTTCAAACCCAGCCTGGGCAGCCTCAGTACCTTACCAGAACCCGATCTCAAAATCAACAATTTAAGGGCCGGGGATTTAGCTCAGTGGTTCCAGTGCCTGCCTCACAAGCACAAGGGCCCAACTTAGATGCCCGGTACCACCCCCAAAAATCAACAGTTTAAAAAGTTCTGGGGATGTAACCCAGCATGAAGGCCATGAGTTCAATCTCCAGGACCACCAGAAATGAATTGTTCTTCGCCTAAAACCATTAACTATTTATAAGTCTCCAGTTTAGATCAGAAGGAAAATAACCAAGCAGTTCTTTTATTTAACGAATATAACTTAGTCATTGTGTGCTATTAAAGCAATTGATTTAAGTTGCTTTGAGGAGAAACCCCTTTTTAAATTTTATTTGACCTTGTGAAAACAATAAATAAAAAATACCGCAGGAGTAGAATTGATTATTTTAAAAAATAGTCAACAATTGCACTAGTGAGATACATAGTGTTCCACTGAAGACACAGAAGATTTCGTGTACCTGTGACCAGATCAGGCCAAAAGCTCCCTGTGCAGGGGCCTGAAAGAAGCACCGAAAGCCAAAGCAAGGATGCGATGTCCACTTGGAAAAATAATCACTCAGCTACCACAAAATAAAATCAGAGTGGAAGGAGTGGCTCAGTTGTAGAGCGTTTGCCCAGTGCTGCGGTTCAATCCCAAGCACTGCTAAATTTTTTAAAATGAGTCTTTGATGGAGTTTGTGGTTTAAACAATAGGAAGTGGAGGACACAGAAGGGATGGGTAGCAAATTAGAACGACAAAGACCGGAGACAGAAGACACCTGCGGGCAGGAGCCTCCTGGCCAACCCCCGCCCCGGAGGATACATGTGGAAATTTTCCTCTTGCGCCTCTGGGATTCCCTTGCCTTGACTTTTTCTTCTTCCCTTCTCTTATTTTCCCTCTTCCAGTAGCAGCTGTAGTCATCACTCAGAAAGTCCACATTTGTTAATCACGAAAATAAACAATGACCCATGTTCAGAGATTCCAAGGGCATAGAAACACAGGCCAAATTAGAACAAGAAGTGACACTGAGAGAAATCTAACACTGTGGCTCTTTCCTTTTGTCACCTTTTTTTCTCCGTACTTGTGGGCAGTCATCTCGGTTCAAACCTCATTCCTGGACTTCAGACCTCGATTCCATCCAGACTTGACTCGCAGACTTTGTGGGACTGCTGTGTCCCAACGGGCTGATCATCTTCCCACCTCAGCAACCTTTCCCTTCTCACTACCCCACCGTGAATCTGGACACAGGGGTGTTATTCTCAGTCTCCTCTCTCCTCAGTGGACCCTTCCTCTATAACCCACCTCTCTCTCTCTCTCACACACACACACACACACACACACGTGTGCGTGCACATGTGCACACACATACATCGAATGTACTGTTGCCTAATTAAATCAGTTTTGTCCTGGCCCCTCTATCCCTTCCAGAATCCACGTCAACTCCCCGCAACTCATCACCACAGCCCACTGCATGACCCCTGCCTCCTGCTTTCCCCTGCCAACCTCTCGCCACGGTGCTGTCAGATTGCTAACTAATCACACACCACCCTGTTGCTATCTTGACCTAATATTCTGAGGCACCTCAAAGCCAGAAGGATAAAGTCCAATGCATCAGCACAGCTTGCAAGCCCCTTCCCAACCTCTTTCCATAGCTCTCTCCACACTCTGTAAGTTAGATCTGAGTTCCAGCTGCATCTTCTGTCCAGGTTCCCTCTCACTCTCAGAACTCTGCACGGGCTCTTCTTTCTCCAGGATTCAACCTTCCCTACTCTGGGCCCAGTGAGCTCCTACTCATCTTCCAGTGCTCCTTTCGAGGTATCCATGCCTCTATGAAATCTTTTCTGCCCCTACCATACCTAGCTTCTGCCCTATTGTAGCACTTACCATGATGTATTTTGATTGCTTGTCTCAATCTCAGATGGCTTTAGACTTGGCAAGGCTAGGCCACCTCTGGTTCATCTATCAGCAGTGATCCTGAGCCCAGCACACGTACAGGTACAAAGCAGAGCTCAGAGAGCACAACTGTGGGCCAAACTAAAAGTGGCAAAGCTCTGTTCTTAACTTCCCCCAAAATGTCCGTGGGACAGAGGCCTCCCAAGGAGCAGACTGGAGCTCCATAAAGGAAACAACAGCTGAACAAAGCGACAGCTGCTATACCTCGAGACTTCAAACCTCAGGTCCATGAAAACAAGACTTGGTCCTCAGCATGGCGCAGGAAAAGGGGAAACAGCTGGGGGATAGAGGAGGCTGCTCTGGAGCACGGAGTGGGGCCAGACATGAGCAGCTCTTCACCAAGGAAAACGATGTGTTCCTATGAATTCTCTGTACCATGGCTTCTATTTTGATGCCCTGCTGATACCCTAATATGAGTACATCCTATGACTGCTAAAAACATTTTTTT